CCGTGAAACGGCCGCTTCTAAAACCACACCTCACACATTATATTGTTTTTGTCCAGGTGTTCGTTTGACCTGTGTACTAGACTTTTTTTTTTAAATTTGTGCTGGGATAACAATAACATCGGCCTATAATTTTCTGTACTTGTTTTATGCCCACTTTTAAATATTGGTGTTATGAGTGCCTGTTTCATAAGTGTACTCTCTAAAAATGAAATAGTCAAAATTCTACTATTTGAATTAGTACTAGCATTTTTTACTAATAAAATAGTCGTTTTCACTTTTAAATAGTTATTTTTTACTACGTAAATAGTTAAAGTTTGACTAATTTAAGATTAGTCACCATATTTTACTATTTCTGACAGTTAAAAGTAACTAATTTCTTTAATCGTTTACGGCCAACAACAAAGTATTATTTGAATTAAATGCATATACCTATCCATGGTTAAATGACCCATAAAACAAATAAAGATGCAAAAAGTTTAGCTCAAAACAGTAACACAAATAATATATTAAACTTTAAAATATTATGAACAATATTTATTGACAAATAAAATTTATTTTTATAAGAGCGGCTGACAGCCGACTGGTTATGAGGTTAGGTTGACAAGCTTCTCAAGTGACAGACGTGAGTTCAATCCCAGGCTGGGTCAAAACTTTTTTAAATTAAAATTTACTAATTTAACTATTTCATTCAGTAGAATTTGACTAATTATTAGTGACTGCTTTTTCGCTATGACAATTAGTCAAATATGACTTATAATTAGTTATTTTTGACTAATTCATTTTAAGAGAGTAGGAGAAGTTCCTATTTCAAAACTTAAGTTGATGATATTTGTAAGTATGCCATTTGAACAAAAATAAAGTTACTAAAAAGTGGTACTTTAGGCAAAAGCATTTCAATACAAAATCTTTTAAATAGTTATTATTTTTATTCCAACCTGGGAGGGATGTGTTATAAATTTGATAAATGTTTATTACTAATATTCAACATTAATTAAATAATTTTACCTAAATTTAGAATACACCTACTTACAAAAACTTTACAAATCGTATTTTCAAGATTTTATATAAAGTAGGTTTAGTAATTAACGCAGAATTTTCCAAAAGAGCGTTATTTCAATTTCCATTTGTGCCAGGTCTGACAAAACAAAATAAAAATATTTGAGCAAAAGAGAATAAAATAACTACTAGTTACTGCTTCTTATAACGTTTCTTGAAAGGGATCTTTATTTAGTAAATTAAAGGATAAGGTAGGTCTTGCCTGCAAAAAATTTTATGTTGGTCAGACTACCCAATACGCCAAAATCGGTACAGTCATCATAAAAATGATTGCAAAAAATTCCACCAAGATGTAAGATCACAATTTTAATTTTAAAACATAATTATATGTAGTAAGGAAGTTAATCGATACAAATAAAATATTGAAAAATGAACGATAAGAGGTGGTTAGACAATGCTTTTCAGTAAAGATAACGAATTAAATTTTGAGTTTTTCTTATACTTATCCGTTTGTGTCCTTTAAAAGCCGGTGCGATGTTCTATTTTGCACATGTGACACTTTCGCACAGTGCTCTTAAGTTTAATACGCACTTTTGTCTTTGTCTTTGATTATTTTTTAAATGATTTATGAAAGAGCTCTTGTAAAACGTCTGGCCTATTTGAACGCTCGGTTCATCATATAATGTAAATAAAATGCTGTAAGACCTTTGATTAGGAATAAAAGAAGATTATAAATTTTTCCAACCTTCTTATCTATCTTATTTTATTTATTATACACTAAAGAAACATCGGGTTTTCGCAACGTGCGCGCCTTCTGGTGGTGTTTGCTAGCATTGTGTGAATTGAAGTATAGTACTCGATTTTGATTTATTATATATAATATCATTAATTAAGAAACTCAACGCTTATATGTTACGTTAGTGTGTGTGATCATGGTGAATTATTGTGTTTTTAATCGTTGCATTTTTATGTTTCGTCAAAGGATCCAATTCGGTACGTTTAAATGTTGATGCAGAATTAAATATTGATAACTTTACCTAATATAATTTATATTTAAGTTTGGACATTTTTAATAAATCTAACAAAAAATAATTGTTTTACAAACATAACCTTAAAATCAAATATTTTTATATTTAAATCCTCTAAAAAACGCATTTTAAACGACAAAATATACCTACGAATTCACGGCAACATAATATTATATGTATATGTGTAATACTGCCGTGCTAAGCTAAATCCCCGTATCTGCAATATTAAGTTTTTAACAACGAAAATAATATTTTGTCCTTTATAACTTAATATTGTACATACGGAGGTTTGGCTTAGCACGGCAGAATACATAATATAATACTGGTTCTTGGTATTTTACTGTTGAGTGGAGACTTTCTTAATCAACGTTTTTAATAATGCTAAATGCTATTTGAATTTAGACGACTTACTTGTTTTATGATTTTTACTTAATTAAAATCTTTCCAATTTTACGTAAATCATTACTAAAATGTGTATTTATTGTCAGTGGCGGCTGGTGAATTTTAGGCACACCCATATCTCAGTTATTAGATATGGGACCCACATCAAATTTATGTTAGTTTACAATGACATTATATAGACAAGTTCTGCGCAAGCAGAATTTAAATTGAAGTTTGCGAAAAAAAGTTAGTTTTTAAGTGTGCCCCCCAGCTTCCTGCCCCCCCAAAAAAAGATAATTCAAATTAAAGTGGTACAATATTTAATTCACTGAAGTTTATCGACAAATTTCAAATTTTATTATATTGTATACAAAATTTCAAGAATTACAGGTTTTATACCATTTTATATTTTTATTATTTCTTTTACTAAATTAAAAAAAAAATTGAAATGGTATAAAATATGTAATACTTAAATTTTTTTAATAAAATTTAAAATTTTTCGATAAACTTCAGTGAATTAAATATTGTACCACTTTAATTTGTGGATGTCTAATAACTGAGATATGGGTGTGCCCAAATCCACCAGCCGCCACTGTTTATTGTATCTAATAGATGGTAAATTCTCATATAACTTGTTTCGATGCTGTATCCACTTATTTTTGTGAAAACTAATTCTCGCTCAAGGTTTTTTTTAGTGTAATGAGCATGTAGCATTTTAAGGTAATGGGAACTTAAATTATGACAAACAAACAATTTTTTCCTAAAATGCAGGCTTTATGTTGCAAATGGTCAATTCTCATATAACTTGTTCCGATGCTGTATCCACTTATTTTTGTGAAAACTAATTCTCGCTCAAGGTTTTTTTTAGTGTAATAAGCATGTAGCATTTCAAGGTAATGGGAACTTAAATTATGACAACCCTAATCTATTAATTTTTTCCTAAAATGCAGGCTTTATGTTGCAAATGTCACATAAGTTACCGGTCACCAACTGCAATATCCTAACATCGATGAATATTTCAACAAAATGATCGTTCAAACAACTAATGTTAGTGCTTGATTAACTAAAAATAGACTTAAGATTGACAAAAAATTATTTTATCCGAAATCGGCAGTAAAGTAGTCAACAATCGTAAATTAAAATAAATCGGCAGTAAAGTTCTACTTTACTGCCGATTTCGGATAAAAGAATTTTTCGTCAATCTTAATTAAGTCTATATTGAGTTAATCAAGCACTAACATTAGTTGTTTCAACAGCCATTTTGTTAAAATATTCATCAATGTTAGGATATTGCAGTTGGTGACCGGTAACTTATGTGACATTTGCAACATAAAGCCTGCATTTTAGGAAAAAATTAATAGATTAGGGTTGTCATAATTTAAGTTCCCATTACCTTAAAATGCTACTTGCTCATTACACTAAAAAAAACCTTGAGCGAGAATTAGTTTTCACAAAAATAAGTGGATACAGCATCGAAACAAGTTATATGAGAATTTACCAAATGTCACGTAAGTTACCGGTCACCAACTGCAATATCCTAACATTGATGAATATTTTAACAAAATGGCTGTTGAAACAACTAATGATAGTGCTTGAAAATAGACTTAAGATTGACGAAAAATTATTTTATCCGAAATCGGCAGTAAAGTAAAACTTTACTACCGATTTATTTTAATTTAGGATTGTTGACTACTTTACTGCCGATTTCGGATGAAATAATTTTTTGTCAATCTTAAGTCTATTTTTAGTTAATCAAAACATTAGTTGTTTGAACGGCCATTTTGTTGAAATATTCATCGATGTTAGGATATTGCAGTTGGTGACCGGTAATTTACGTGACATTTGCAACATAAAGCCTGCATTTTAGGAAAAAATTAATAGATTAGGGTTGTCATAATTTAAGTTCCCATTACCTTGAAATGCTACATGCTTATTACACTAAAAAAAATCTTGAGCGAGAATTAGTTTTCACAAAAATAAGTGTATACAGCATCGGAACAAGTTATATGAGAATTGACCAGATACAAGTCATATTTACAGGGACTGTATGCAATTTATTTTTTCATTCCGATTTCTACTGTTTATTGAGAAACCGGTAAAAACTCAACCCAGGATTTCTGCTCAAAAAACACTTTAAACACAAGAAATCGTACCGCTTTTTTTTCTCGATATTTTTAACATTTTTCGGCTTCATTCCCAAAAACAATTGTTTGTAACATACGCGTTTGACAGCTACTTAATAAAAGCCATAAACCAAAAAATCTATGTTAAATCTAAAATCTGTGTTAAAAGCTGAATTCTCTGGACGATGATAACGGCCAAGTGTTGGCGCTACTATCGATGCTTCTTTAGCGTATATCTTGCCTAAAATCCCCGCCCATTACCTATTTTAGTGTTTTTTTATTTATTTGGGTGCTTATTTTTCTAACCTGATTTTTACGCGATTATCTCAGGTGATGACATTTGTAAATACACCAAGCATATATTTATCAGTAGACATTTTTGACAATTTAATTTGACATATTAAATGTTTTCTTTCAATATGTGTTTATAACACATTAAAGTAGTTATAAATAAATTTATTAAAAAGTAAAAATGCAAGATAGTATAGTAGAAGATTTATCCCAGTCCGATGCATACTTTGAGGATGGCCAACGAAAAGTTTATTACATATTGGCCATAACTAGAATAAGTGCTTTTGAAAATTACAAAGTCATAAATACGTATATAAGAAACTTACAAGTCGCTGGATTGCAGTTTGAACAATGCTATGGAATAACTGAACCTGTGGTTTTCGTTAAAGTTCATTTACCAGAAGAAATACTACTTTCTGTCCAAGAAAAATATTATGCATGGAAAGACACATTGGTAACAAGCAAAGGCAAAAGGAAACGTCAGTTAAAATGTGTAAAATGGTTTAAAACAGCTTTACATTACAGACAAGTTTTGGTAGGAGACTCCAATTGTGGTACGGTCGTTTTTACAGAAAAATAATTAAGTATTACCAAAAAAATATATAAACATAATAACTTGATAAGTGATAAGACTTTTTTAAAATTTTCTTTTAAAGCTAACCCAACTTTAAGGTTAACTGTTAAACATTTTTTATGGTGATTATGTAATTTTTAATCAAAAACAATTTCTAGAAAAATTATATTAGACTTCTGTGGCGGAAGACAACCAGGCAGATGCAAAATATGCAAAAGCCTACTTAAATGATACATTTGCCGCCTTTTATTTGATCTGATTCAGGGCAACATTCTTAACGGTGCTCTTAAATATATTTCTTAAAACATTTCAACTTTTTAGACAATAACATTTTATATACAGTGTGACCCATTTGTTTGCGACTCACCCCTGTAAAATCTTTATTTATTGTGCGATTTTAACCGGATTTGTTTTAAAGTCCAGATCTTGATAAACTGTATTTTTAAAACAAAAAACGCTATATTTTTACAAAATACAAGGCCTACTATGTTAAAAAAATTCATATTAGTGAAAAATCTAAGCACGGCACTGGATTCACCACCCCTCAAAACGACCCTATACTAAATTTTATTGAAAAATTTTAAGTAGAAAAATGCACAATAATAATTACAAAAATTTATTTTATTAAGTTATCAATGAAAAAAACATTGAAATAAAACAGTCAATAATTATATTAAAAACTTAAATAATATATGGTAAAATTCAGGTACATAAAATATATCAAAATACAACAAAATTATTTATTTACATATTTCATCCATCTATACAGGGTGACCCAGTGCTCTGTGATCGGTGCATATTTTTTTTGCTATTAAATTTATCGATATGAAATTTTATTAGAAAATGTGATCCAACTAAACCTATTTTTCAAAATTATTTTGAACAAAATTCCACTTCCGGTTTCACCGGAAGTGACATCAACAATGTTATTTCAAATAGAATACCCTGTATATTTTTAAATTTCATATGTAATTCATGATAAAATTTCTATAACATTCCCTATACCTAAACTCAATAGTATTCGAGTTATTAATTTTTTTCGTAAAAATTTGACATTGCGCCTTCAACAAAAATTTTTGGAATCTTGAAACATTGTTTTAAATATATCTTGAAACATTGTTTTAAATATACCGTGTCAAACTTTCCCATATTTCTAACCAATTACTTGATAAAAACTAGGGTGAATTTGACAAACTTTAAAAGTTAATAACTTTCTTATTTTTATGGAACGCTATGTATATTTTTGCAGAATTAAATTTTTTATTAAATTTAAATTTTCATTCGTATAACCATTCCCTATACCTAAAAATAATAATAATAACAAAGATATTTCACAATTTTAAAATAATTTAGGTATCAACACACCTGAGAAATCAACAAGCGAGTTATCTTGACGTATCCATGGATACCAATATCAAAAATTGTTTAAAATCTAATTGTTTCACTTTTTCTAGTATTTGTTCAGTTAAAATGGATTTTACGCGACAAGAAATGATAAATATGGTTTATAGTATTGGAGAAGCGGATCGAAATGTTCTGCTAGCTAGTAGAATTTATCATCAAAAATATCCAGACTCAAGATTGCCCCGAGTAATTTAATTTCAAAAATTGAGGGTTAGATTTGAATTGATGGGTAATATTTCTTACAAGAAACTAGAATTGATTGGACGGAGAATTAATGAAGACCATGAATTAGAAGTTCTTTTGACGATAGAGGAAAATCCTTTTTTGAGTACTCGGGAAATCGTAAGAGAAACTGGTCTATCGCAAAGCAGTGTGAATACCATAATTTTAAACCATACATTTCACCCGTACCATATGGAACTTCATCAGGAACTTTATGATGACGATTTTCGGAATCGAGTAGATTTTTCAAATAGAATTCTTGAAATTGTGCATGCTAATGGCAACTTCTTAAACGGCATTTTATTTTCGGATGAATCTACTTTCAAGAGTAATGGATCTGTTAATAGGCACAATTTGCACTATTATGCGACTCATAACCCCCATTGGCTGAGAGCCATGGATCACCAAAATATGTGGTCATTGAACGTTTGGGGAGGTACTATTGGAGGCCGTGTTGTCGGTCCATTCTTTTTTTACGGTGTCTTGAATGGCGAGAGATACTTGGAATTTCTTCAAGCCGATCTCCCATTGCTTCTCGAAGTTTTTAAATCGGAGTTACGCTAACCGTTGGATAGGAAGACGAGGAGCTATTGCTTGGCCAGCTCGCTCCCCAGATCTGAAACCCATTGATTTTTTCCTTTGGGGGTATGTAAAGGAAAAAGTTTACAAAGAACCACCAACCACAGCTGAAATTAATTAAATTTTTGTCTGATTTAACTGATTTTTGTGCTTCTATTATAAGAATAAATAATGATACAATTCAACGAAAGAAATTATTAATAATTATGAATAAGCATTAATTTCTCTCTGTTTAACGTTGAATTGTATTATTTAGAATAACTGGTGATATGTGATATGTACTCCTTTTTACCAAAAAGATAATGTCACACTTGAAACAATTAGATTTTAAACAATTTTTGTTATTGGTATCCATGGATACGTCAAAATAACTTGCTTGTCGATTTTTCAGGTGTGTTGATACCTAAATTAAAATTGTGAAATATCTTTGTTATTATTAACTTTAGGTTTAGGGAATGGTTAATTTAAAAGGTAATTTAATAAGAAATTTAATTCAGCAAAAATATACATAGCGTTCCATTAAAAATAAGAAATTTATTAACGTTTAAAGTTTGCCAAATTCACCCTAATTTTTATCAAGTAATTGGTTAGAAATATGGCAAAGTTTTACACGAAATATTTAAAACAATGTTTCAAGATTTCAAAAATTTAAACCGCATACCAATAGACCTAATAACAAAGAACTTATAGGCTATTTTTGTTGAAGGCGCAACTGTAAATTTTTACGAAAAAAATTAATAACTCGAAAACTATTGAGTTTAGGTATAGGGAATGTTATAGAAATTTTATCAGGAATTACATATGACATTTAAAAATAAAAAAATATACAGGGTAATCTGTTTGAAATAACCATGTTGATGTCACTTCCGGTGAAACCGGAAGTGGAATTTTGTTCAAAATAATTTTGTAAAATAGGTTTAGTTGGATCATATTTTCTATAAATATTTCATATCGATATCTTTAATAGCAAAAAAATATGAACCGATCACAGATCACTGGGTCACCCTGTATATACTAGGGTGGTCGTTAAATTTTGCGACTCCCCCTAAAAAGCTTCGTTTTAATGTAAAAACACTGGGATTTTTTTTTAAATTTAAAACAACACGTGCCTCAAGACGATCTAAGTTAATTTTTTGGTATAATCAAATCTTTTCTGAAAATATGGAATAATAATTTTTTTGAGATTTAAAAATTATTAACAATCAAATAACTTTACCTTGAAGTGAAGAAATCTAGATATTGAAATTACGTTTGTACTTATTTAGTTTAAAAAAATATATCAATTTGAATATCTTTTTTTTTTGTTTAATAGGCCAAATCAACTGAAAAATATTTTGAATTTAAATTTTAAAAATTTGTCTGTTGTTATTTCGATTAACTATTGTTTTTTAATTGATTTTATTGATATAATTGTTTATACAGGGTGTTTTTATAACTACATATGTTATATATATATATATATATATATATATATATACAGGGTGTTATGTAATTAATGTTATATATTAAAATACTGAATACCTTTTGACATAAGGAATAAAGGAAAAATATTTAAAAAAACATTTTTCTAAAGATAAAGAAAAAATATGCATTAGAAGTTTTTTATATTTTTTGTGAAAATTTTTCTTGCAAAAAATAAATAAAAACTCAATAAATACAAAAGTTTTATGCTCTTAAAGCTCTAATACCCTTCTGTATTTATTTACTGATTTTACCTTTGAAATTTGAAATCCATAACCACAAAATTAATTTTTTCATCAGTTTTTTTCTCTGTTTACTCAGATGAAATTGGGACCAGTTTACAGGTTAAACTTTAAACATTTAATTTGTGTAAATAAATCCAAAAGCACTTCCCTTAGTTAAGATATTTACAATTTGAAAACATAACCTAAAATTTCAAAGAATTGCACTAGATTCTGTCATAAAAGTTGGCAGATTTTGTTTGAATTTACCTTCAGTACAAAAATGACATAATCAACAATTAATAAAAACGCCAAATTGACAATTTGCATTGTTAATTTTGTCATTTTTGTAATTAAGCTAAATTTAAACAATGTTTGTCATCTTTTTTGAGAGATTTTGGAAACTGTTGTTACCAACCATAACATAATAAATCCACCAGATTAACCTAAAGTTCCTAGTCGATCAGTGGCGTACTTTTTGGTTGGATAAAGGTTATTATAAATTATTTTTAGACTTTGGAATTTAGAAAAAAAAAGTTTCAGGTGTTTCTTTATGGACCCTAAGGAACAACCCATTTTAATATATAACATTAACTACATAACACCCTGTATTTCGAATAAAATTTTATTTTTCATAAAAAATTCCCAAAAAAACATGATTAGGTATACCAAAAAATTAACTTAGATCGTCTTGAGGCACGTGTTGTTTTTATTTAAAAAATTTAAAAAAAAATCCCTGTGTTTTTTCATCGAAAAGAAGCTTTTTAGGGGGCGTCGCAAAAAATTTAATTTTTAACGACTACCCAAATATATACATACATAAATATATATACACACATACACACACCAACCTTCTTTCAAAATAGGCCAACGTTATTTTCTAAAATATGTTTTTTAACAATGTTTTAAACGTGTTATAATTTTGACAATTTTTTACTGTGTTAGGCAAATTATTAAATAAAGTTAATCCTTAAAATAAATGAATTTTTGTTTTTTTTTTGACCATGCAATATTTTTAAGAAAAAATCGTTTACATTTCTTGTATTATGCTCATGTATTTGTCGTATAAAGAATACCTTATTGCATAAATACTTAGGTGCCATTTTATGTTTTATTTTA